CCCGCACCGAAGCCGGGGGCCCTGGCCAGCAACGTGCCCATGTGGCATCAGCGGCAGCCGTGGTGTGGACACGGGCTGTTCCCTCGCTTTTGCCACAGAAGGGATGCTGGTGTCACAGCTGGTTCCACCAGCTTTATGGTCTCTTTGTGCTGCTGCAGCAGAGCTGAGAATCTGGCCCTGGCTCCCTCCCCACCTCGCCAGGGACTGCATCAGTGTGCTGTTTATTGTTTCTGCCAGATCATTCATGCAGATGTTAATGAATGCTAGACCCAGCTTTGCTCCCAGCAGAGTCCCTTCCACACCTCCCCCTGCCCAGCCCTCTGCACTGGAGTTTCTGTTTACAGTCCTGCAGGGAATTCCCCTCTGCTGCACGGTCTTCAAGCCGCACAGTCCCAATTCCTCCTGCCAGCAGGCTCCCACATTACCTCCCTGGTTCCTGTAGCTGTCCAATGTCACCTCCAGGTGTCTGCGTCCCTCACTGTCACCATTCCTTCTCCACCTCTGGCCTCCCCAAACTAGAGACACGCCAATTCTTCTAGGAGGGAGCAGAGGGCTTGGCCAGTGAAGAAAGTTGCTACAGGTTCTTCCTCTGCACAGATGGAGAAAGCACAGGGAGAAGAAGTCACCAAATGGGAAGAGCAAAGCAATTTGTGCAGGAGGACTCTGAGACAACATCTATGCTGGTAAGTGGTGCCAGGACCCACCTCCTGGCCCTGCAGCCCACAGGCACACAGCAGCGTGCATCCGCACCACTGCGCTATCTTCATATCCCAACAAGGCGGGCACCTCAGTCTGCCCCTAATTGGGAAACACTGGGAATACTTGGGAGAGTGTTAATCAGCCCAGCCCAAAATCCCTCCAGGGACCTCTGCAGAGGTTTAGTAGGACAGATGACCATGTGCCCAAGCCCCTGGTACTGCAGTGGCTGAGCTGCATGGAGCCTCGCTGTCCTGGCAGCGGTTGGACATCAGGAAGCCAAAGAGCTAGTCCACCTGCTGCAAAGGGCACCAGTCTCAGGAGAGGTTTCTGATATCTTCTTGATCAAAGCAACATCACTTACCCTTCCAGGAGAGCGATGACATTTTTTCTGGGCCTCCCAATGTTCGGCCCATAGAGGTTTGCTCTGGAATAAGTGCGGATAAGCTGCAGCAGGCTTCTCAGCTGGATGTAGTCCTTCCCCAGCTGGCTGCCGTTCACCGAGCGGCCGATCAAGGTCCGATAGTTATTGGGCTCTGGGAAAATAAAAATAGACAAGCAAGGCTTGCCAGCTCTGCTCCTTCATCCGTGCTTCCGGAGAGAGACACACAGCTCACACGCTGTCGCACAGCTTGAGCTCCGCAGAACCGCCTGCCTGCTCTGCGGAACAGCAGAAGGAGCCTCTGAGCAGTGGATGAGGGCCATTGCTTGCTCTCCTGTGCCAGCATCTCCTCCTGTGCCCCTTTTGCTGTGTGCTGGGTGAAGGACCCGCACCTTGGTGTCATGCTTCTGTCCCCATAGAGTCCCCCATTTCCCCTGACACTGCATCTACCATACAAGCCCATACAGCTGCTGGTCTGGCCACCCCAGCACTGACTGTGCCCAGCCACCAGGACAGAAACATTTCTTGTGCTTAATACCAACTGATGGAAACATCCAGCTAAGGTGCTAACGCATGCCAGGTCTGTCTTAGAGATGGTGCTGCCTTATAGCAGGGGCTTTTAAATCCCTCTGAAACTACATTGGCAAAGCATCCCGGGACCTGCAAATATCCTCTTCCAAAAGGGAATACCTTTCTGCTACAGCAGGCTCCATTCCCTTGGCTCTCGTGTTCCCACACTCACCGTTGCCCAGCTCCCAGGAGATGTTGTACTTCTTGCTGGCACTGTACTTCAGCAGGCTGAGGGCATTGGAGCTGTTCCAGGAGTTGTTGGGATTTCGGCGCAAAGCATTCAGTGCGAAGATCAGGTGAAGGCCAGAGCAGTCAGCAAAGTTATAGAGTTTGTCTAGAGACCTGGCTGGGAAGAAACAAGAACCAGTTTGTAATTCAAATGAAACCTAGTTCCAGGGAGGTTCAAATGATCCTGCTGTCCATCAGACCTTGCCTTCTGTGTAGGATGAGCCAGGGTCAAATACCTTCCCTGTGACATCTGTAACTGCAGAAATGCACCTGACCTTTGAAACTGGGATTGGATTCCAGGTGTGGGTTCATCTCCTTCCAGCATGAAACTTGGATGCCCTCCACCACTGTGTCAGAGCTACGGGCCATGTTACCACAGACAAGTGACTTTATAAGATCTCTTTTCATCTCTCTTGGCGAGGGAAATTCAGCCTTTCCTGTGTTTATCTTGCCTTGCATCTCTTTCAGAGCAGATCCCTTCAGTACCTGGGGAACGGAAGAGGAAATCACCACCCCAGGGCCACCAGGTCACGGTCACCTTTCCTGCACGCCACCACAGCCTGCTCTCCACTCCCACAGCCCTCTGTGCAGTGACCAAGTCCCAGCAATAATCAAGTAGAACCTCTAAGGTGTGCACCATGCACCCAGCTAACCTCTGCTCTGCACACAAAGAGAGGAGCTTCGTGCCACCCCTTGAGCTTGGGGACAGAGGAGGGCTCCCTGCCTGGGGACAGCCTGGCCAAGCCCTGCTGCTGGGGTGGCCCTCCTTGGGTCTTTGTGGGATCTATGTCCTACCTGATGGCCCCAAAGCTCCCCAGCTGGTATCTCCACTGCTGAACTGTGGCCTTGATGAGCAGTGGGCCACCAGCCAGCAGCAGAAGTAGAGACCAAAGAAAGAGCTGACCCACTATTCAGGGAGGAGTGACATTAGCACAGGGCGCTGGTGGGAGAGACAAAATGCTTAATGCCTTTTTTTGCTTCAATCTTCCCTAAAATCTCAAAAGCAATCAAATGCCCGACAAAGCTAATACCAGCACTAGCAGGATACGAACTCACGCGACAGCGAGAGAAGATTTGGTTACAGAGTAATTAGATAACTGTGATGTTTTCAATCATCCCTGCCTGTTGAACTGCATCCCAGGACACTTGGTGAGCTTCCTGAAGCAGCTTCGAGATGCAACCACTTAACTGTGAAGAGCCACCAGGGACGGGGAGGTTCCAGGGGGCTGGGGAGGGCAGACTGAGGGCTCTGCTTTCAGAAGAGGGGAAGGAGGCGCTGGGGAATTACAGAATAGGCAGACCAGCTTCAGGTCCCAGAAAAATACTTGGACGAATAATCAAGCTGCTTGTCAGCACTTACAAAATATAAGGAGATGATCAACAGCCACAGGAATGTGTCAAGAACAAATCACACTGAAGTAATCTACTGACAGGAGAGCAGGGCTTGCAAGCAGCAAAGCAGCCGTTTAGGTCTTACACCTTGATGGTTTCTAAGGCTTTTGATACAATTGTGCACGATGTTCTCTCCGGCAAGTAGAGGTAATCTTGGTCTAGACTGAACTGTGGTGAGAAATATGGACACTGAGAGCAGTTACCAGTAATTTGCTGTTAAACTGAAGGGTCTAGGCATTTCCAGTAAAGAGGGGTACAAAGGAGCAGAGGATACATACATCAGACTTGCCACGGCACTAAGGTGCCAGCATGCACCACCATGGCCAAAGGAGCTGAAAGGGGTGGAGAGGAGGTGACCGCATGTTCAGTGAATTGCTCTAAGCCCAGGGGTGATGAGCCGAGACTCCCTGTGCCCACACTGCTGGACCAAGGTGCAAGTGAGATGGTGACAGCCAGAAGCTGTTTGCTCCAGTTGGGATAAGCTGCTCACAGCCTGTACATCTGCATTTATTCTGTCGCCTTTCCCGGTCACAGAAAGCCTCGTTGAATATGGAGCCAGTTCTGAGGTCTGAGAAGAATAAACTTCTTTTTAAAGCAATGTTTTAAGGAGGGTCAAGGAAATAAGCTAACTGAATAGCTAACGTTTAATGGAACACGGCAAAGGAAAGGAAAGCACGGAAAAGAAAAGAAAGGAAAACTGTGGAAAAGAAATTCCTAATCCCTTTCACAACCTTTTTCTAAACGCTACTGGTTGTTGGAGTGAAAAGTAGCTGAATTAGATTAATCTAATGTATTCATCCCACTGGTTCAGGCACATTAGCTGTTTTTCTGGATGTTTAGTGAATTAGAGACAGATACAGTTACTTAATACTCATTTACTTCAGACCTCCAGGCAAAAAGCTGTGCTTGAAATGAGACTTCTATAAAGAGGATAAGATAGACACCTAAACGACAATGTGAAGATAGCAAAAAGGTGTTACCTGCAGTTCCCTTGCTAGAAATGAAACCTTTTCAGTGGTGCAAAACAGTTTTAGTTCTTAAGTACTACAGGAGGGGATTTGCTTCGTGTTTAGAAGTCTCTGCAGAGGACTGGGAATTGATTTTCCATGCATCCACCGGAGGAAACAAGCCGCCTCTTTATCCCAGTGCAGAGCCTGCCACTGTGAAATTATATTTTCCCCATGACACTTATTTTGTTTCTGCGTGCCTGGACACAGAGATGCCACATGTATTTCATGTTCTGCCATGACTTTCCGAGCTGGAAACCTCAGCGAACAGGGGAGAGAGGTAGGAGAAACACATGGATGTCTGGGGGTTTCTCCTGCAGGTTTCCAGCAGTCTCCCAACACACAAACCGACCTGCAGACTGCAACGAGCCTGCAAAGAGCAGAAAGCCACTAATAAACCTATGTCTGCATCAAACCAGATTGTTAATACGGGCACTCTTGCTATCAAGGGTATCAGGTATCAAGCCCAGTAATCTCCTTTATCCTTAGCGGCTCTAGAAGGATGGTGTGAATCTGGAAGAACCAGTCTCTCCTGTGAGTCTACCAGAGCCTTGGTGACCACTTAGCACAAGATGCCCAACTGTTAGTGGCTAAAGGGCATGTCTGACCCCTCCTGAGGTGGTCACCTTAAACTAGACGTCTGTGTTGCAGAAAGCTGTGGTTAGATGAGAAGAGTACTGTCATGGGAGGCTAAAGCACAAAAAGAAGCATATTTAGAAGACCTCAAGTGATGTCCACCCCTCTATAAGTACAAACAGGGCCAAAAGAGAATGCTATAAATATTTTACTGCCATGTCTAGGGATGGCCACATTACTTCTCAGTAATGAGAACATGGAGAATCGCAGTATTATTAACAGCTGGCTAAAACTCACTTTGAATTCTGGATAATTGCACTGCTTTTTCTTCATCAAACACAGAAAATCTTCCAGGAATTTAACCTTTCCCCATCTAACAGATAATCAGGCAAGGCTTTCACAAAGCATTTCAGTAGAAAAAACCATTGTCTTACCAGAATGAATCTTAATAGAGCAGAACTGGATTTATAAGATGTTCTCCCTGCCCCTTCTCCCGCTCCGCCAGGTACAGAGATGCACACGCTCAGTGCTCACATGCCACTGAGCTCAGGGAGAAGGAAAAAAGAAAAAAAAAAAGATGAAAAAAAGAGAAAAAAAATTTACAGGGATGCCAAGAGCCAGCTTTTGCCACTTACTAATGCTCATGTAGTTGGAGTGAGGCTAACCAAGGCAGCAAAGCTACGTGCTCCATTCCCTCGCACCCAGTGCCAGTGCTTGCTTGGCAGGTTTCAGCAGGGATGGGTGCTTGCCTCGGTGGGTTTGGGACTAACAGCAGCCAGTTAGCAGAGAGTGGGGCCTCATGGCCCTGGCACAGAAAAGAAATCAGAAGATATTTGGGCTTTCTCAACGTTTTACATCCTCAGTTGCAGAGGCTTGGATGCATCTGGAGAGTGAATACCGCCCGACGATGCATGGCTGGGTGTCCGCCAGTGAAGGTCTGCTCACAATCCTGCCCTCAGCAGAAGCTCTGCACGGGAATTAAAGATTTTGGCTGCTTGCATGGATGTCTCACCCTGCACAGAGGGAGACAAACAATTTCAAAATGCAGGAGAAGGTGTCTGTGAGTCCAAAAATGGTGGTGGGATTCACAGGACAAGTACATCCTTTGGAATTCTTTCCCATTTTTCTCCTTTTTATACAATGATAAATTTTAAAGTTCTCTTAAAGATGAATGGCACTAAACTCTTGGCATGCCAACACAAAATCTGAGGCACATTAAAATGTCTCTGGCAGTTCAAAATAATAGGAAAGATTTTCCAGTTGTAGTTACTGAATTAAACGTTATACTAGAGGCTTTATAAAGGACATAGTATTGACTGCCATTTGGTAAAAGGGACAGTTCAGTAATCTCTGGGTTTGAAAGTCTTCCATGTTTTTTATTCTGCTTTAGGAATTTTGCTTTGGCAGAGTTTAGCACTAAGAGTGGAAATTCATGTGCACACTGAGATGGAGGCTGAGATCAGCCAGTGGGCTGAGGGGTGGTGGGGCATGGCACAGCGAGCCGGAGGCTTTCGTAACTCTGGGAAGTCAACCAGGAGGACAGGAAAGAAGAGCCTGTTCTCCCTCTATCCCCATCGTTCACCACGTCTGTCTCTTGCATGTACAGCACGTGCCAGTGCTGAGGAGGACGGGGTAAGGGCTGAGCACAGAGTGGGCAGCACACACCTTTCTCCCCAAATCCACAGGTTAGTTGAGAGACCAAGGAAATACACAACAGATGATTCTGTTTCCTTCTGTTATTCTGTGGATAAAGCAAAGAAATGCAGTTCTAGAAATAACAATTTCAACTAATCATGGGTATTGCTTGGCTCTGCATTCCCCATAAATTCTGAGCAACGCCTGGAGTGTCCCTGCAAACAGCTCCTGGTGCCAGCACTTAACCCAGCAGCATGGCCTGCCCCTCGAGCACACCACAGGAGACAGCGGAGGGAATGGGTTGGGAAAGACCTGGCAAAGAGAAGCCCAAAGAGAGCTTTACAGGGAAGAGGCAGAAAGGGTGGTACTGAGTGTTCAGACAAGAGATTAATAAGATGGCTGGTGAGAGCAATGAATGGAAAAAGAAAGGTATTCCCACTTATAGAAGAACAAGTGGGTACACGGAAAATTTGTTTACAAACAAACTGCCACCATAGGCAGCTGAATCCCATTTGCACTGGCTCTCTTGGGCTGAAAATCCTCGTAAA